CGTTCCTGAGCACCTACCATGTGTCCTGTAGACAGTAGGGACGCAGCTGTGAACGAGCCAGCTCAGGGAGCCCATGTCCGGTGAGGGAGCAGGACAAGCCCATGGTATTCAGACTCTGCCATGGTACACGCAGTGATGACGCCCAGGCGCTGAGGGAATCAGGGGAGGCAGGGCGGGAGTAGCATCTAAGGCAGGCCCTGGGGTTCCCCAATGGATCCATGGGGCCACAGAACCCCTGCCCCACATTAATCCTGTGCATGCTGCCACTGCTTAGAAGCCCGCTGCAGACAACTAGCTCAGCTGGTTCCTCACGTGAGGCCTTCTGTGTCATGACATTTGCAGGGCTGTGCCACTGCACTGAACACTGGCGGCTGGGCCCACCTCCAGGGGAGGGTCTGGAGCCTTCACCAAGCTGGGATCAGGGGCCTGAGTGGCCAGAGGCCCCAAGTCACGGCCACTGTACTCTGATGGGAAAAGCTGAGTTTGAGGCACCCAGGGTGGCTCAGGAGAAAGCCCTCCAGGAACAAGGCGTAAAGTGGGGGCTGCAGACTGGAAGGCTCACGGGGGCCACAGCAGCATGGTGACCAGGCCAGGTCTGAGACAAGGGACCCTGGTGACCTGCAGGCCCACGCCCACCTGAAGGCATTCACATTCAGTACACCGAGGAGCACTGAGCACACATCCAGGCAACACCTGCTCAGGGCCTCCAGCTGGCAGGAGGGAGAGCTGCCGGGCCGTGTGGCCTCTGACGGGTCACCTCCTGCCTCTCTGAGCCTCTAGGCTGATTTTACGGTCCCTCCTCAGGACTGTCCTCCTCCTAACTCTATGGAGAAAGAAATAGAGCCTCCTGAGTCAACTGGCTTCATCCGGGGCCTGCCTTGGGGTGCGGGTAGGGTGAGGGTGACCTGGAAGGCAAACAGACCGGGTCCCAACCCCAGCTCTGCCCTCTCGGTTGTGCAGTCTTGGGAAGCTCTGAGCTTCTGTTTCCTCGTCTGTAAAAGGGGGGCCTGAGGTAGTTATCTATTGCTATGTAACAAGTTACTCCAAAACCTAATGGCTTCAAACATGACTAATCATGTATTCTCTCTCATGGTTTCTGTGGATCAGGAATTCAGGAGCGGCTTAGCTGGGTAGTTCTGCCCTGTGTCTCTTATAATTTGCAGTCAGATGTTGGCAGGGGCTGCAGTCATCCGAAGGCTTGACCAGGGCTGGAGGACCTGCTTCCAAGAGGGCTCACATGGCTGTTGGCAGGAGGCCCCAGCTCATCTCCACGTGGGCCTCCCCGCGGCCGCTCCAGGGTCCTCACGTGGCAGCTGCTTCCCCCAGAGCAAGTGATCCAGGACAGAATGAGCAAGGAGGAAGCCACAGTGCCTTTTACGAGCTCGCCCCGGAAGTCACACTCCTTCACTTCCACTGTATCTTATAGGTCACACGGGTCGGCCCCCTTTGGAGTGGGAGGGGACCACACAGGGGCGTGAATACCAGGAAGTGAGACTCACTGGGGTGGGGGGCATGGCAGATCTTGGAGGCTGCCTGCCATAACTTGTCTGCTTTCTTATCTGTAAAATGGGGACCACCTCCCACCTCTCAGAGCTGTTAGGGCTCCAAACAAGAGGAGAAAAGCTTTCGGCACGGAGCCTGGCACATACCAAGCATTCACCTGTCTTATGGTGCCACCACCGGCTCCAACAAAAGCTGGAGGGCAGCCCCCCCTCACTGAGCCCTGCTGACCCGTCGGGCCTCTTCTTTCAATGAATGGGAACTAGTAACAGGCACTGCTTTTTCTTCCCTCCTCCTTAAGGTTTTAAACACCTAATTTATTCCATCCATTAGACAGATTTTGTAGATTTAATCATTTTCACAGTTGGTGGCTCATTGGATACTCAAGATAAACTCCAAATGAAAGTATAATGGTGAGGACAAATGAGTTTTCACACCACAATGGCAGAAACTTGCTTGGGAAGAGAGTTTAAGAGGGACAAAAATATATACAGATATAATTTTTTTTTCTCCCGGCAGCCGCTTTTGCTGACTCTAGTAGGTTACCACAGTTAATTTCACCAGTTTTGTTCATCTGTAAAATTGCATAAAAGTGACATTTTTGTGCTCATTATAGCAACTGCTGATTTATGGCTGGTAAATGAAGAGCTGGTCCCTTTTTTGCGGGACTCTCCGAGCGACGCTAAGTGCCCATGAAATTGCTTGTATAATGTAGTTTAAATCCAATCTCGGAGAAAGATTCCCCCGTTGGCCAAAGTGACATTTCCATTCTCCACACCGGGTGTATTTCAGGCCACTTAGGAGGGGCTGCCCCAGGCAGGGTCAGGATGGGGGCCCAGGGTCGGCTTTACCGGCCTGGCCCAGGTTAGGCGGCAGGGGTGGAGTGGCACTCGGTGCGGCCCACCTCTTCCCTGCCTGCTGCCCCTCAGGGCAGAGGGCAGTGACCTTTCTAACACACATGCCTGCCCCTGGCCCTGCCCCACCTCCTTAAATCCTCCCACGGCTGCCGATGCCTTGACGTGGGGCTCCTTCCAGGCAGCACTGCTGCCACTTGAGGCCAGACGGTTCTTCGTGGTGGGGGCTGTCCTGGGCATAGTAGGATGCTGAGTAGCATCCCTGGCCCCTGCCCACTATGTGCCAGGAGCACCCCCTCTCCAAGTTGTGACCACCAAAGTCGTGTCCAGACATCGCAGTGTGCCCTGGGGTCAGGGCTACTGAGAACCTCTGCCTGCTCTGGCCCGGTGCCCCCCTGAGTCGCCTCTCTCTCTCTCCCTCTCTCCTTCCCCCTCTCCCTTGGTCTTCTCTCCTCCTCCTCTCCTCTTGGGCTTCTGCTCTTACTCTGTTATTTACACCTCCCAGCCGGGGCATGCTTCCTCGCCTCTGGACTTTGGCCCGAGCAGTTTCTTCTGCCTGAGATACGTTTCTCTCCCCACTCCTCACCCCCTCTACCATCGCCTTAGCTGGGAGGCTCCTTCTTCCAGAAAGCTGTCTCTGAAGCCCGCCGGGTGAGGCTCCCCGCATCCCCACGCCACCTGCACCTCCCCATCACGGCACGCATTTTGCTCAGATTGGCCATGAGCCCACGAGAGCCCATCTGGAAGGATGAGATGTGGAGTGTGGCCTTCTGATTGGTGGGGAGGCCTGGAAGGGGCTGGGGTCTGCACTCTGTCCCAGACACAGTGCCAGGCCCAGCCGTGCACGACCCATTCCTCTCCTGGGAAGGCCCGTGTCCCTGGCAGATGGGGAGGGTATGAACACACTTAGAAGGCACCTGCTTCTGCCAACAGGACTCGTTAAATCCTCATAGCCACCCTGGGACATAGTGTTAGCCACAGCATAACCCCATTTTACAGATGAGGCAACTGAGGCTCAGAGTGGTGAAGCCCCCTCCTAAGACCCCCAGGAATCACTGGGAGGCCCCAGGGGTGCCCCCATGGCAGCAAGGAAGGCAGTGTTCCATGAGACCTTGTAGGGTCCTCCTCGCCCGAGGGCGCAGACAGGTCATGCTCTCCCAGGACCCAGTGTGCACCTCAACCCTGCTGGGTCCCTTGGCACAGTCGTTCCTCGAGGCCACCCTGCAGACCCAGCATGATCATTATCCCCACTCCACAGGTGGGGAAACTGAGGCTTGGCCAGACAGCTTTCCCAGGGCCACACAGCCCCTCCATCAGGCAGGACTCCACCCAGGCCTGCCAGCTCCAAAGCCAAGTCTTTCCATCTGTGTCACACAAGGCCCCTGCTCCAGGGAGGGTCCTGGTGGCACTGAGGATCATCTCAGGACCAGGGAGGGGCTTTGGATGGGAGAAGGGGGTCTGCCCAACAGCAACCCACCTTCCCCAGGACAGGGGCCAGTTGTGAGAGTGGGGACAGTTAGCCTGTCACACAAAGTGCACCCTTCAGCTGACATGCTGACAGCTCACAAAAAAGGCAGGGGCCACCATGCTGGTCCTGCAGGTGATAGGCAGATTTAGGGAGGGGATGGGCAGCCAGTGGAGGAAAAACCCCTCCTCCTCACCTGCCTAGTGATGGAAGAAGGGAATATGAGCCCCGAGATGAAAGCCAACAGCAACGGCCCCCACTTTCCCACCTCCCCACACGCCAGCCCCCATGCCGGCCTCTTTCCCATAGCAACGCACTTAACCATCCCTGAGGTCGCGTGTCATCGTCATCCCATTTTACAGAGGAGGAAAGGGAGGCACCAAGAGGAAAGTGAAGCAGTGGGAGGAACGAACACCCCCCAGAGCGGTGTTCAAATGAAAGACAGGCCCCACAAAGCGTCATAGACTAGGGTCGGAGCCCCCGGCACTCCTGCTCTGCCTCGGGGACGGCAGCTTGGCAGTCTCTTCGGCAAACCCTTGGGCATGTTCTCCTGAAGCTGAACCGTCACCTCCCCTGTGTCCCAGCAGTTCCGCTTCTGGGCATATTCCCGACACAACTCACTGAATCCGAGCGCCGGGGCCGTAGCGCCACATATCAGCCCCTCACTGGAAATGATCAAGGATGTCAGTTGTGATGTAGACACGAACACCACACAGCAATGAGAGAGAACGAACCACTGCCACACACGGCCACCGGGATGACTCCCGAAACGTGACCTTAAGTGATAGATCCCGATGCAAATGGGTGCGCACTGCAGGAGCCCCTCTGACCATGTAGACAGCGGCACAACTAGTCCACGCTGTCGGAGCAGGAGAGCCACTAACCCGGGTGTTTAGTGACTGCGAGGCACAGGCAATGTCCCGTCCCTTGACCCAGGTGTTGTCGAGTGTGTTCCGTCTGTGAAAGTTCAGCCAGCTTATGGTGTGTGCGGTTTCCTTTATGTCCTCTACTCCTCGACAATTGCGAGGGAATGAAGGAAGGAGCAAGTGAATGAATGCAGAAACGAGCGAGGGAAGGGTGGCTGGTGAGTCCTGGGGAGTAGGGGGCTGTGGCCTCCAGGTGTCCCCGTGTCGCGGGGTCGGCTCTCACCTGTGCTTCCCTCTCCTGGCTTGTCCCCGCAGGCGAGACGGCGGCCAGCTCCATGCCTTCCTCCCGCTACCCGAGCCCGGCCGAGCTGGACGCCTACGCCGAGAAGGTGGCTAACAGCCCGCTCTCCATCAAGATCTTCCCCACCAACATCCGCGTGCCCCAGCACAAGCACCTGAGCCGCACGGTCAACGGCTATGACACCAGCGGCCAGCGCTACAGCCCCTACCCGCAGCACGCCGCGGGCTACCAGGGCCTGCTGGCCGTCGTCAAGGCCGCCGTCTCGGCCTCCGGCGTGGCCGCGCCCGCCGGGCCCGCCAAGGGCGTGCTCAAGAGCGCCGAGGGCAAGCGGACCAAGCTGTCGCCGGCCGCCGTGCAGGTGGGCATCGCGCCCTACCCCGCGCCCGGCGCCCTGGGGCCCCCGGCCTACCCCAAGCCGCCCGAGGCGCCCGCCCCCGCCGCCTCCGTCATCCCCCTGCCGGGCCGCGGCCTGCCCCTGCCGCCCTCCAACCTGCCCTCCATCCACAGCATCCTCTACCAGCTCAACCAGCAGTGCCAGGCCCCGGGTGCCGCGCCCGCCGCCTGCCAGGGCGTGGCCGTCCCCCACCCCAGCCCGGCCAAGCACGGCCCGGGGCCCGGCTTCCCCAGCATGGCCTACCCGGCCACCGCCGGCCTGCCCGACTGCCGCAAGGGCACCGAGCTGGGCCAGGGAAGCACCCCGGCGCTGGCGCTGGCCGGGGCCACCAAGCCCGCAGGGTACGCGGACGGCGGCCTGGATTACCTGCTGTGGCCGCAGAAGCCGCCCCCGCCGCCGCCCCAGCCCCTGCGGGCCTACAGCGGGGGCGCGGCGGCCAGCAAGTCCCCCGAGGCCTGCGGGGGGCGCGCCTTCGAGCGGCCCGGCGGGTCGCCGCTCCCCTGCGGCGCGGGGCTGCCCGCCGGCTTCGCCCTGGGCCAGTACTTCGCCGCGCCCTGGAACAGCGTGCTGGTGACGCCCACCAGCGACTGCTACAACCCGGCGGCGGCCACCGAGCTGGGGCCGGGGGCGGCCCGGGAGCTGGCGGCGCCCCCCGCGGACGCGCTGGCGGGCCTGCCCAGCAAGAGCGTGTGCAACACGGCGGTGCTGAGCAGCAGCCTCCAGTCGCTGGAGTATCTCATCAACGACATCCGGCCGCCCTGCATCAAGGAGCAGATGCTCGGCAAGGGCTACGAGACGGTGGCCGTGCCCCGGCTGCTCGACCACCAGCACGCCCACATCCGCCTGCCCGTCTACAGATAAGGCCTGCCCGGCGGTCAGACGGACGGGGCGGGGAGGCAGGCGCACCCAGCCCCGCCCTGCGTCCCAGTGCCCACTGACGCCCGCAGGGAAGCCGGGCTGGCTGCTGCCATGCGGCCGCCTCGGGAGTGGCAAGGCGACCTCGCTCACCAAGGCCCCTCCCCCCATCGGCGGCCCCAGGACACGCGGAGGGCCCGGGGCAGCCGCTGACGTCCACGCCTCCCTCCCTCCAAGCTGGCAGAGGCAGGGAGAGAGAAACCACTTAAAAACAGGAATCGTCCCTTCTGGCTCTCCAGGAGAGGGGCTCAGGCCAGGGCGGGATGCGGGAGGAAGTGTGATGGTGTAGAGTCGGGGGAATCAGAGCAGCCCCCAGGGTCAGACAGCTCCTCCCCCCACGAGCTCCCCAGTCTCCTGGAAAAGGAGCACAGAGGGCCTATAGGAAGTCACTGGGCCCACGGTGTCCCCCACTGGCCCACCCAGGTGAAGACCACTCTAATCGAGGCTCCAGGGACCAGCGGTCCCCCTGTCCTCCTCCTCCAGACTCTCCTTCCCCTCCCCCCATTCCATCCCAACACAGAAAAATCACACCCCCATCCCCATTCTCCAAACCCTGGACTACCACCTTTCCCCTTCCCTCTAGTACATCTTACAGGGCTGCTGGGCACAGTTGCGCAGGCTGTGCACTGCACAAGGGCACCTCGTCCAAGGAGACACGACTTTGCATCCTAGACTTGTATATTTATTATGGCGATTTTCTGAATCTTGAGGAAGGGGCGCCCTTTTCCTATTCGCACAAAGGCTCCACAGGGGCTAACAATGGGCCTGCCACCTTAGACCCCATCACAGGGACCCTACCCTTCCTTCTTCAGGGGTTCTCCTAGGAGCCAGTGAGGGGGCAACCTACTGGTTTTAATGGGGAGACCCAATCTAACTCCTTCCCTGCAAGCCACCCTCAAGGCCCGCCCCACACCATCAGTACGGGGGAAGGCAGGCAGGGGTCCCACATTAAGTCCCCAAGGCCCAAATTCCCCAAGTCCCAGCCCCTCTGGCACCCCGGAAGCGGTACTGTATCTCTCTCCAAGGCCTGTTCAAGCACTAAGTGCATTTACAAATCTCTGAGAATGTTTTTTTTTTATACTAAAATTGACCATTATATTCTACTGTGAGAAGTGCAGTCTGCACTATATTGTTTTAAAAACGAAGAGAAAGAAAAAAAAAGGCAAACACACAGATGGTGTCTCAGCTGTGGGATTGCTCGGTCGCTCTTGTAGGTTCTTTCCGTCCTCCTCCCGGCAGGAGTAAAGCGGGTGACTCCTCCCGGGCTGCGGGCTGGAGCGCCGAGGAAGCGGCCAGGAGCCTCCAGGCGCCTCCCGTGCCCGGCCACTTTGCCCTCCGTGGTTTATTTACTCCTCCAGCTCTTCTGAGTACATCTTTCGTGGACACTGTCACTTCCCCTGTGAACATGTCAGCCACCTGGTCAGGGCGGCGATCTGTCCATAGAGTGGCCCAGATGGAACGGAACCCGGGCCCCGCTGCCTCGTCCCCGAATTGTGCGGAGGTGGTCGGGGGGCGGCGTCCCCTCGCATCACTAAATTCCTTCCCAGCTCTTCCTCTGGGCCTGGCACACTCTAAGCTTCCATGGTGGCAGCGTGGCTGGGGACAGGCCAAAGTGGCTGAGCAGTGCCATCTCCCTGGCCAGTGCCAGCAGGCACCCGCCCCATGCCCTGGTGCCTGGGGATTTGCAGGAGCCCCACCCCCACCCCAGGATGCGAAGATTTATAGGCCCTTGCTGGGTGCTGGGCATTTCACATACACTGTATCTCGGTGGAGCCTCGCCACCCCTTGCAAGGTAGCGGGTGTTTGAGAGGAAGAAACTGAGGCTCAGAGATGTGGAGTGACCTGCCTGAGGTCACGCGGCAGGTCTGTGGAAAGTCCATGGCGTGGACTCTTCCTCACGTCCTGCCCTCACCTTCTCCCCTGGCCTGCCAGCCTGACATCTGGGCAGGGGGGAACTGGGGAGCCCCCAGTCTGACATGGGCCGCCCCTCCCATGCACGGAGCCCCATCCGGTGCCTGGCATGGTGAAGCCCGGGGCAGAAGAGGGGACAGAGGGGATGCCTGGACGCAACCCTGCAGTGGGGGCGTCCACCTCCCTCGTGCCAGGCCCCCAGGCCTGGCAGCACACGGACGAGGAAACAGGCTCTGAGAGGAAGGGGCCGTGTCCAGGGCAGGACCAGGCCCTTCTGAGCTCAGTCAACAAACCAAACACATCACCCCACACCCTGGGGAGCAGGGGCAGGGATCCTGCTGGGTCCGAGGAGCTAGGCCAGTCGGCGCTACGGAGAAGGCCGCTGGCAGTGATAATAAATCGGAGGCAAACAGCAGCTGACAAGCGCTTTTCTGACCTCACATAATCGAGTCCCCTAGCAGCCCCCTCACGTATGTAACACCGTCATCCTGTTTCCCAGATGAGGACACGGAGACTCTGAGAACCAGCCCCACGATGGTCAGAGGGAGCTGGGTGCTGGCATCCGCCTCCCGACGCTCCATCCTCTCCCCCGGCCCCCTCTAGACATAACTGCAGCCCGCCCCGGGCAGCACGCACCGGGGAGGCCCCTGGAGGCAGGCCAGGCCAGCAGGCCGAGCCTCTGCGGTGAGCCAGATGTGGGTTCGAATCCCGCCACTGCTTCTCTGAGTGGCCCTGAGCAGTCCGTCCCCAGCCAGAAGCAGAGCTGGGATTCAAGGCGACAAGGGCGCAGTGTGGGTACCGGGGAGGGGGCAGGGGCAGCAGGGTCCACAGCCAGGTTTAGGGCTGGTCCCAGGGGCCACCACTGGGATCACCTCAGCACCCACGTAGTGTCTGGGTAGCCCTGATTCCCACCCACACTGGGGCCAGGCCAGGTCCCTCACATTTGGAGACTGTGGCTGAGGAGCCGCCTCCTATGCTGGGAAACCTCCTCCTCCTCTGCGGGGGGGTCTGCATGCAGGGTGGGGGGGCACGTGGCCCGGCCAGGCCAGGCTGGGGTACTGGTCCTGGCCCCAGCTCCCTGGGGGCTTTGGCGGGTTCCTTCTCCCTGGGAGCAGAGCTACCTGATCTCAAAGGGCCCTCCAGCGTCGCCTCTCTGGCACGCGGCACCCCTGTCCTTTATTTATACAGTCACCTTTGCACACTGGAGGGCAGCGCAGGTGACAATGACAACATTACTGTCATTGCTACAATTACCAACAGCCCACACTTACTGTAGGCAGACTGGTCACCAGGCTCGGCACTACAGGGTCTTTAGTCCTCACAGCTGTGCAGTGCTCGTGATACAGGTGCACGTGATACAGGTGCACGTTCCCATGTCACAGACCAGGCTAGTGAGGCCCAGAGAGGGGCAATCAATTGCCCAAAGTCACACAGCTGAGGATGGAGAACGGAGCAGCAGCGGGGACAGCATGGGTTCTGACTCCGAGTCCGAGCTTTTAACTGCTGCGCTATGCACAGGGTATAAAACCACCGCCAACCCCCAAATGTGGCCTATTTGGCCCCAGAGCCAAGGTCCAGCCTCTGGGCCCACACCCCCAGGCTGCAGGGACTTCCTGCGGGGGGAAGGAGCAGAGTGGGGAACCTGCCACCCCGTGCAGTCCCCAGCAGAGCTGCAACCCTTTCTCCGTCTGTCTCTCCTTCGGGCAGGAGGATCCCCCCCTCCATTTAGCTGTCTGCGGCTCACACCCCTCAGAGCGAGCTGTCCACTCTGGTGGCCGCTGTGGCTGGCACACAGTCCCAACTACTGTCACCAGTTACTGGCATAACTACGAGAAGATCGCGGCATCGTACAGGGACATCAGAGCGGCCCCACAGGGGCGTCTGGGCTTCGGCAAATATCTGAGTGGAGGCCCCGTGTAGGGGACACACGGTTCCAAGGTGGCCCCGTGTCTTCTTGACTCACACCCCAGCCTTTAGGGCACGCCCCCATTTCTGGGAGGGGACGCTGAGACAAGCTGGACTCCTGGCTTTGCCTCGAAACGGCAACTCTGAAGCCCCGCAGGTCAGCTCGCAGCTGCGCGCACACGCCCACCCCACGTGGGTTCCACGTGCGCCCGGTTCCACTCGCTGCACTGCGCCTGCGCATCCCGGCACTCTTAAAGGGCCCTCGCGGTCCCCACCAGCCCTCTGCGCTGGCCCGGAAGGTGGGGTCCGGCCAGTGGGGTGGGCGAGGCCGGGGGACACAAGCTTTTGTGGTTAAATCACCCCCATCACCAGCTCGCCAGAGCGGCAGGGGGAGGGGAGGGGCGGGGGCAGGCAAACTGGCCTCAGCATCCCATTGGCTCCATGTGTCACCCTGGGCGACCTGTGTGGCCTACTGAGCTTCAATCCCAGCTGTCAGAGGGAGTGGTGGCACCTGAATGACTCGGATGGCACCAGGGGATGTGTGATTCACTAGCGATCGCCCCTCTCCGAGCCACTTATTTCTCAGCTATAAAGCGACACTAATATTGCAAAGCACCGACCCGGCAGGGCTGAACGTAGAGACGGTGGTCTAATCCCCCAGGCAGCACAGAGCCTGTTCCTTAAAAGATGCCCCCAAAGTTAAGTGTATTATTTCTGTCATCACCTAGTCTGGCTGATTTTTACCTTGGAAAGTGGGTTTCCAGGTTAAAAGTGTGAGAAACAGTTGCATATCCCTCACCCCCCACCGTGGAGACAGCAAATCGTATTAGCCTATTAAAGGCTCTGACAAGTGCTGCAGGCAAGATACCCTTTCCACCTTAACCCACCATTTCCCTAACTTTTTTGATCACCTAAGATTTTGTTTCTATTACAATCCCAAGAAATGAACCAGACTTCAGGAAACACTGAGTCCTACTTCTTGTTTGCAATTGGGGAAACTGAGTAAGTCCCTTCTCCTCTCTGGGCCTCAGTTTCCCCAACTGCAACACAAAGACTCCTAATGAGTTTGTGGCAGAGCAAGGACTAGAATCCAACCCTGACCCAGAGTCGTTGGGCCTCAATTCTGGGGCCACCACATCCTAACTGGTCTTCATCCACCTTGTCAAACT